GTATCCCTTGCACCTCCCTTTTAGATTGCAAGCCCTCATGGGCAGTGCCCTCCTTACCATCTTGTCTTGAATTGTAATGTCTTCCTTATATTGTAAAGTGCTGTGCAAACTGTTGACGCTATATAAATCCTGTATAATAATAATAATAATAATGCGCACCCACTGCTGTGCACAGGCCCTTAATTCATTAAAAGGATTGGGCTAGCAATAGTAGGCTCCTTGCTACCCCGGTGAGGATATTCGTAGCATTTATTTTTGGAAGTGTATTACAGTGATACAGAAGGAGTGTAGCATTTAGCATGAGACATTTTGTTAACAAAGTGAGCAGTCTCTGTTGTGATTACTCTCGTCACTGAAAGTTGCCTGGGCAGCCGAGCCCCTGATGCTTTCAGACATGCTTTCTGCACTTGAACTAATTGCGGGGCAGCCTTGTGTATCCAGTTTTAAATGGCAACAATAGTGTGAAAAGCAAGGCTCCGTTCCACTGGACTGAGGCCAAGACTGCCAGTGGATTGCAGGCTTTATGTTTTCTGACAGAAGGCAAGTCCCAGCTAGCTCTATTCCCTGAAAATAACTTTCTCAAATATCTAGAGTATTGTGACCTGGAGCGCAAGCTTGACACATTCTTAGAAGTGTTTTGTAGGTATTAGGAATGTAAGGCTTATGTCTTTTACTGTCTTCTGAGCGTATAGAATTTGACTCTGGCTTTCTTTTTTAATTACGTTTTTTTTGGGCGGGTGTAATGCCCAGTGGCAATGATCTTCTCTTATAGATCTACATATTGGTTTACTGTTTATTGAGTTTGATGGGCTTGTAATATGTTTACAGATGACAATTCTTGTGCCAAGGAATCAGCCTATGAGTATACACTGAGTGCCCAGCTTATTATGACCACCTGACGTTTCTAGGCAAATTAGCTATAATTAGCCATAATTTTGCGCTGAAGTTGCTAGAGGGCCAGACCATTATAAATAAGGAAGCAGGTTGTTTTCCACGACAGTAGAACTGATTTTTTTTCTGACGATATGGGTAAACAACGCGATTTAACAGCCTTTGAACGTTGGATGATTGTTGACGCGAGCCATGGAGCTCAGCAGAATTTGTTAAATGTTCAAGAGGGGCTCATTGTTAATGTTTTTAAAGACTGGACTGTCAGCCAAAAATCTGGGTCTGAACGTGCGAATGGTGGCCGTCAGCGACTAGTCAATGTTAGGGCAGAACGGAGAGTGGCAAGACTGGTACAAGACAACAGAAGGGCAACAGTGCAGTGTCAGATTCCTCGCATCACCTTTCCACATCTCGTGGAGTCACGAGGAGGCCCAACGAAGTCATCTCGTGGCCCAACGAAGTACTGATGGGGTGGTCATAATAATCTGGCCACTCAGTGTACATCACAGATAGAACATAGACTTAAAATGCTCAATGCAAATAAAGCAGTTGGACCAGATAACCTTCACCCCAAGGTACTTAAGGAATTAAGCCAGGTTATAACAAGACCATTATTCCTAATTTTTAAGGAATCATTAGTGACTGGTAGGATCCCCAGTGACTGGCGGAGGGCTACGGTAGTTCCAATATTCAAAAAGGGGGCTAGATGCCAACCAGGGAACTATAGGCCGGTCAGTCTAACATTGGTAGTTTGTAAACTGTTAGAAGGTTTGATTAAGGACTATTTGGTAAAATTTGTGAAGGATAAGGGCATAGTTAATGACAATCAGCATGGGTTCAGGAAAGACCGTTCCTGCCTGACTAACTTGCTAACTTTTTATGAGGGGGTAAGTAGAGATATGGATGGAGGGAGGCCAGTGGATGGGGTATATCTGGACTTCTCAAAGGCATTTGATACGGTAGCGTGATACCAATATCCCTAAGAATGAGATGATGCGTGGACCTATATGGGTTGGACTTGATGGACGTATGTCTTTATTCAACCCCAAATACTATGTAACTACTATATGTAACAGATACACATATAAATAAAATCATAAAATCAAAGCTGCTCGAGAGGTCCTCCTACAAGAGTTGGTTGCAGGGCCACTGTGAGCCCCAGTAAGGAGCAAACATTGGATACACAAATAAAAGAATCAGACAGGTTGGGATGGGAGTAAGGGGCATGGGTAGAATATCAGGTGGGGTGTCCTATTTCCAAATGTCATGACATAGTGCATACAAAAGAAGTGCAGGATATTGGCTGGTTTGATATCTCCATGTGTAAAAGTGGAAAACAATATATACAATACTAGTATTCTGCTACTAACAAAAGGCATCAGCATGAGCAGTTCAATGAAAGCAGTCGTTGTCTCCCAGTAAGTGCTACAGCCTTTAAAGACTATCCAGCAGGCCCATATGTTGCAGAATTTATCTTGTGTATCATGCAGGTCTCCTCCATTTGTCTAAAGGCATCTACTTTTTGTTAAATTGAGGGGGCAGAAGGTTTATTCCAATAAAGTGTTTTGGCTGCATTTAGTTAACATGGTGTAAGAGTGCTTGTACCAGACTGGTGGAAGGTCATTAGAATGTAAAAGATATTGCCGTGGGTTGAAGTGAGGAATGGATCAGCATATTTATTTCATATACTGCATGATGGACATTCTGTATTGTTGGATTGTTAGGCAGTACCACCAAAGATATTCAAAGAAGCCAGAGCTGTTGCATCGCCTCCAGACTGAAGAACAAATGGTGTGGAGTTCTGTAGGCACATGGTTCCATCTCTATACAGGTTTGAAGGTCATCTCCTTGGTTTTGAGTTGATGGATGAAGTATGTTACAGTTGCAGGACTATGGATTTTTGATATTTGGAAATGGGTTGAGAAAAGTCCTCTTCCCATTGTGATAGATGTGGTGGGTATGTAATATTTTGTATAACTGTGAAGTATTATGTGTTGGAGGTTGAAAACATTTCTTCAGTGGGGTAAGGTTCCTGAAAGAGTGCAGAAGTTTATGCAGAGAGTGGGTGGAATGACCAATTTGTAATTATCTGGAGTTATCCAGAGGATGTATGATGTCCTGGGAAATAAGATCCTGGGGAGCTTTTTGTTTTAAATCATTGTGAATCTGGTGAAGGAGTAAAGGAGAGTCATAAGTCCCTCTGTGAAATGCCCTACAGAGCAGTTCATTGGAAACTTTTGCAGTAATGTTTGTCACTCTCGTTTGGCGGATGCAGAACCTGCCTCAGAGCCCTTCCCTAAAGCCAGTACTGTAACTGGCCATCATTTATTATACCACTTTAAGAAATGGGCAAGCTTACAAGTGTGCATGCCGCACAGTTGTTGCCTATACACTTCTCAATATTTCGGAAGGGCATATTGCTTTATAATTAACGTGCCGACAAATTGGCCTTGCAATAAGCCCAGTTGAAATGGTAGCTTTTGGTTTTGTGACAAATGTGTGGTAGATTTTGGCTCAACTTATTGAGGTGCCAAAACGTTTGGTACTAGTGATTTGTATCTTGTAAGATGTTTGCCATGGCAGTTATCAGACCTGATATGTAAATATCACACCCGCAAGCAAATGGTTTCTCTTAAACATAACCTTTATTTTTTGCTATAGTAATATTGACCTGAGCCTAACCCTTAGCATCAACCCAACGTTTATCCTGAACCATACCCCTAAATCTAACTATAATGTCAGATTAATCGTAATCCAAAACCTAACCCTCAACCTCAGCCCTAAACCTCAACGCAGCCCGTAACCTTAAACGTCAAGTTCAGCCATAATCTCCATGGCAATATTATCACAATGAAAAATGTACTGTTACACCAACACTTATTGTGCCAAAAATTGGCAATGCCCAAACAAACGCAGGCTGCTATCTCTGCTGAAAATGTTAGTGCCTACCTGGAATTTTTTCATATTGGTGAGATTGAGATGCAGTAATGTAATATCATTACACCATATACGGGGAGAATAAGGGTTCACTCCCTCAATATTGATGTTTAAGGTTTATAATAATGAATTGGTTTACCGTGTTTGGTGTGAGCCTTGGTGTGTTTGGCATGTGCCTGGTGTGAAATGCTTTTGCTTTGTTTCATATAAATGTCCCGGTATATGACTGGAATTTCATAGTGTTTCCCAATTTGCGTTAGACTGGGCAGAGGGATCATTTCCTGAGTGGGCTGCAGCTTGTTCAGTCCTTTCAACACCTGTAAATGTAATATTTATTTTCTCCAAATGGGGAATAGTTCTCTGTATTCCTGGAACCGGTGTAACCTTTCACAGCCTGGTGTGAGATGTGTTCCTGGGTTAGTGCAATGAATCATACCGAGGGAAAACAGGTGGCATAGATTCAAAAATCAATCCTATTCACGTGTTTATTTGAAGGAAAAAAAAAAAGGGTTCTATGTCCTGCTGATCAGATTTATATACATTTCTGGCTGAGAGTATTAGAACACGGAGCATATGTTTATTTTTTTGGCATGAGGAAGATATAACATGTGAGCAAATCCATTGCTGTGGCTGGTCAACCCCCACCCTTTATCTACACTTTATCTTATCCGGCCAGACCTCCTTTCTCAGTTTTGTGACCTGCGCATCCTGTATGTGTGCTAAATCCTGCTTATTTATATATAGAATCCTCGTGGTTAAGCCCTTCGTGTGGTTTACAAGCAGAGCAGAGATGAAACCAATCTTTGGCCCACAAAACAAATGCTCCTTATTTAGGAAAGCACAGAAAATTTGTGTTGTTTTTTTTCTCTCCTTAAAGTGGCCTTGCAGTGGAAAAAAACCCTGCCACGGCCTTCTCAAAGTTTGCTTAACCAGCGTGGTCTGTCATTGGAGCCTCCTAATTCCTATGCAAGTGTAGAATAATTCCAAATGTCAAGGCTGTAGACCTATACCTACATGTAACTCCCATGCATGTGCACAAGAGTTACTTATTCTCTGCATGCCGGGACTGTGTGCTGAGCTGCGCATGCATGACTCGGCATACAGAAATAAGAAGCTTTTGCAAACATCTAAACTACTTTTAAAGTGGAAGTAAAGCTTAAAATAAATGCTGATAGGCAGGCTTTCTATGTCAGAAGAGACTATGTAAATGTCTTCTGCCATAGAAAGCCTGCCGATCAGCATTTTTTAAGAGCTTTACTTGCACTTTAAAAGTAGTTTGGATGTTTGAAACCTAGTGTAGTTTGGTATTCTTAGTGAACTTTTGTATTCTTCATAAGAAAATGCTACTGTTTTGATAATTATTTTCTCACAGATAGTGAAAAGTGCACAATGGGGGGAGTATGGTCACACTTCCAGACCTCAGATAACTTTGGGTTTAGACATGTGTTGCAGTTGCCTGTGCAATCAATGCGCTGTACCATGCTGTGCTTGTTAGGATTTACCATGCCCTCCCTTAATGATTTTACAGTACGGTACTGCCAAGACTGTAACGTGTATTAGAGAAGCGTGTATTATTCCATTTACGGTTGCAAGCCCTTTGAACATTTGCATATTAATAAGGAAATACATGATGACCGCCAGACCTAATGGGACTGATTAACCGATTAATCGAACTCAATAATCGGCTAACTAATCGATTTTGAAAATAATCGTTAGCTGCAGCTCTAGACTGGTTTACAGAAATTGGGAAAACTGGCTGCATGCTGTGGCAGCTAGTGATTCGGTAATGACTCTCCTACAGTTTTCTTTCAGTATACAGATCTTTCATGCTCCATAGTCTGGGAGATTTTCAGTCCGAGAGGTAGTCTTGGCCCTTGTGTGGCAACCTCAACTTGCATTGTGAGAATAAGGGCTAGGATCTAATTGCTATGGGTTACACAGGCACTTCTTTCTGACACCCTCCTCAATGGCCTATCTGTACACAGGCTATCCCCCTTTTAAGTCTATCATGAATGCTGCTGCTAAAATCATCCACCCAACCAACTGCTCAGTGTCCAACTCCCTTCTGTCAATCCCTCCACTGGCTTCCATTCGCCCAATGGATAAAATTCAAAATATTAACCACTTACAAAGCCATCCACAACTCTGCCCACGGCTATATCTCTAACCTTGTCTCAAAGTATCACCCTAAACGTCCCCTCCGCTCCTTCCAAGACCTACTGCTCTCTAGCTCCCTCGTCAACTACTCCCATGCTCACCTCCAAGACTTCTTTAGAGTCTTTCCCATCCTCTGGAACTCCCTACCCCAACCTGTTCGACTATCTCCTACTCTGTCTGCCTTTAGGTGATAACTGAAGACAAATATCTTCAGGGAAGCCTATCCCACCTCAACCTAACCTAGACTATTACTTTCTCAAACAATTCATCCCCACACAGCTACCTCCTCATTAATCACTGGCCCCTCCTTTTTAGATTGTAAGCCCTCATGGGCAGGGCCCTCCTTATCGTCTTGTTTTAAATTTGTATTGTAACTTTAATGTCCCCCTTTTATTGTAATGCGCTGCACAAACTGTTGGCACTATATAAATCCTGTATAATAATAATTGGGTGTAAACAAACCAGTGAGGTATTCTGGAGTCAGACTTGTGTAGAGGCCAGAGGGGTATAAATTAATGGACTAATAAGGGGACATTGGGACTTCCCTACCTGTAAAGTTCTATCCCTGATTACATTTCAGCCTAATATGTTAACCAAGCTTCTCCCTGTGACAAACTTGACCAGTGACTCATAGCAATCCAACCCTCAACATATTTCACCGTTTTGTTGCAAACTTTGATGGACCTTCTGTTATCTCTGCAGGTCTCTGGATGGGAGACTCCAAGTGTCACACCGTAAAGGTCTGCCTCATGTCATATATTGCCGTCTCTGGAGGTGGCCAGATCTTCACAGTCACCACGAGCTACGTGCCATGGAGATGTGCGAATATGCTTTTAACATGAAGAAGGATGAAGTCTGTGTAAATCCATATCACTACCAAAGAGTGGAGACTCCAGGTAAACAAAATAAATAGTCTATTCAGCATGATGTCTAGGCTGATGTATGGAAATGATTTCCTTAATGGCTGCTGATAGTAGATGTACATCATAGTGACGTGGCCCGCACCACATCAGGGCTCATTCATGCTGTGATGTGTTTTAATTCACATGGTGATATAAAGCCTGAAAAAAAAATACTTGCAGTGGAGCAAGTGAGTGTTACATCATTTTCTTCTGAAATCCTCCAGTGGTCACAGCTAAGGGCTTGCGAGTCAAACACATCAACTCTTAGCTGAAGGCCAATATTGTTTGTCCTTGTATGAACCAGAACAAATGTCAGGAAATCTTCCATCTGGGTGGGTGGACAAGCCATGGCGGGCACAGTGGCTGGCACACTAGGTTTGTGTTTGAAGAGGGATCCACCCCATTCTGAAATGCATTTGGGCTGGTACTGCGGCCAGGATCAGCACTGGACAGCGCAGTACTTGAGTGACTGACCTGGAACAGCATCTATTGTAGTAAGTCAGACGCTTGACTTTACTTCCTTAGCATCACATGATGGTTTTTCAAGTGAACTCATCTGGCAAAGATGTATGTTAATTTTAAGCAGAAATATAAATTTTGAGGGGCTTTGATGCTTTAAACCTATTGTGTTCATTTTCTAATGCATCTCATCTAGATAAATGGAAAAAAAAGGAACATGTTTCACCTATATCCTTTTTTGTCTCAGTTCTGCCCCCAGTATTAGTGCCACGAATTACAGAGATTCCTGCGGAGTTTCCTCCTCTAGATGATTATAGCCATTCCATTCCAGAGAACACCAACTTTCCAGCCGGCATTGAGCCACAGATCAACTACATTCCAGGTATGGATTCACTGTGCTTGCCATTTACCTTTTTCAATGTAGGATTTTATGCTCAACATCCAATGCCCATGTGGGTTCATTGGTATGTCAGAAAATGTGATGATGGTGGTCATTGTCCATATGGGCTTGAAAGCCATGCAGTCGTCTGATGCAAATAGGAAGTAACAACCTTATTTTTTTTTTATTTTTTTTAGCCAGGTGGTTTAAAATTGCCATAGGGTCCTCAGAATCACAAATTGTTGGCGTTCTTGTGTGACCAACACTTTTATGTTTAGAAAGTAGGAAGATTTGACAATGGTATGTTTATATAAACATGAATATGCATAGTAAGAATAGTTTACATTCATGTAAAGGACTAGATGCATCTTGTTTTCTCTGTAACTTGGTGGTACAGAGGAGTCTTTTAAACGGTTTACAAATTGGTGCTGGGTTGCTTTAATAACAGGTAGAGAGAGAATGTATTAATATTGGGCCAAGCGGAATGACAAGCTCAGAAAAAAAGTAAACTCTCCCATCTGTCTGTCAGTGTATCCCACACCAGCATGACAAGAGTCTTCACAATTGTTGGGGTATCCTATGTGTATCCTATGTGATAATAATGATTATAAGATTTGTTAAGTTGTGCAGTCATTATTTTATTTTTTTTAATAAAGAAAAGTACTGAAAGGTGGTATTTCTTATGCATTATTATATAGTTTTTTATTATGAGTTTGTGTAAACGTTTGCATGCCATCCATGTACTGTTGTAGGACACGTGGCTCAACTTTTTGTTTCCATTAGTGGCCCTGTTTTTGTTATTCACATTATCTTATTTTCTTTATACACCTTGTTGCTGGGTTTGCATGAAATATATACATCAGAATTTGATTTGGAATGTGGGACTACTTACCTGTCCCGTTGCTGGCCTTCTCTTAAATTACAGGCCAAGAGAATCCTCTTCATCTGACATACTTTTTGAAGTGTTGGGTTCTTGGTCCCCCCACCAAGTGCTGTGGTTTTTTTTTCCACCAGTCTGCATTTTGGGAAAGGAGGCACAGCATTTGGTGGGGTGCCAAGTGACCAGGGGAATTCTGAAGGTGATCTTTATCAACCGCGCATCCAAGGATTACGTTTTTAAAGTGAGGGTCAGTCCTGATGTAGCTTTGAAGAGAAAGTTGGAAAGTTTTAAGTCTTGTATTTCAACCCCCAGCTATTTAAGACTGTAGGAGAGGTAGAATGATGGTAATTGTGTACTTTCCTGGTTTTTCAGAAACCCCGCCTCCTGGTTACCTGAGTGAAGATGGAGAAACCAGTGACCAGATGAATCACAGCATAGACTCTGGTAAGAATTACATTCCAGTATACAAGCAGGAAAGTGTTGGTTGAATGTAATTTAAAATATCTTAATGTATTGTTTTTTAGGGTCGCCAAACCTGTCTCCAAACTCCATGTCCCCAGCACACAGTAACATGGGTAAGTTTTATTGGCTTTATTGTTTACTATGGTTGTTTCTGATATTTTATATTCCATCATGAAACATAATAGTTAGCTGGCATTACTGCTAAACAAGTGACATCTTTACTCTCAAACTTAAATTTGTATTATTGGATGGACAATACTATTCTTTATATAAATATATTATTATTATTATACAGGATTTATATAGAGCCAACAGTTTGCACAGCGCTTTACAATATAAATATATATAAATATATATGTGTGGGATATTTCACTTGGTTTTATGCAATACATAGCTTTCCAAGCTGCTTTAAAAAACAACTAGCAAAAGCGTGGCTGTTCATTGAACATCCCGAATATGGAATGCCATGTCATTGCAGTTGTGGAGAGTACAGGACTGTGCAATGGTACAGTGGTGGTAAGTGCTGAGGCATGTCTTTGTGCAGTGTTGCCGGGCATGTAGGTGAGGGGTAGGACCAGGGAGAGAGAGTTGGTTTTAGGTGCAGTGGTAAGATTTGAGGGTTGGCGTGCACGTGTAGTGTGGGAGGAGAACATTGGTAAAATTGTGGAGGATTGGATTGCATTGGTGAGAACTTGGGATGGAGGGGTGGCATGAAAGTGCATTTGTGGTAACAAAGGGAGTGCAGGCAAAGTGGTCACCAGGAAAGGAGCAGCAGTGGTGGTGAAGTGAGTGGTTGCAGGCTCATTGATGGTTGGTACTTCACATATATGTGAGAAGCTTTTTTTTTTTTTAGGGTAAATCCAAATGCCGTCTTCCCAGTTAGCAGCATAGGTTGGGCAGGGAGGTAGCAGGACAGAGGCGGCTAGATCACCATCCATGGATACTGTAAATTATAATATAACAGAACATGGCCATTAATAAATGAATATATAAACATACCCATATGTATGGGAAACTAGAAAAACACATACCCTCCACATCCACTGCCTCCTACACCTGCATGGGGGAGGGTTTACTACATCAGCCAGCTGGTAATAATGGAGATCAGTGATCAAGCTATATATATGATTAACAGATAATATCACATAATCCTTCCAATTGGATCATAGATGTAATACTTAAAATAAAAAGATTCCAACTGCTCTCTGTCCCAGATTTGTCAGGCTCAATAATCAAAACTTCACCTAATCAAAAAAATGGAGCAAGATCTAAGGCTGGCCAAACACATATCAATTTTTTTAATTCAACCCGTGGTTCCTCCAACACAAACAGCGTGTCGATCGAGGAATCGCCACTGTTTGCATTGTATTCTGACAGGAGCTGCCGACATCTGTCGGAATACCCGATCAGAGGGGACAGCTCATTGGCTGCCGGCTCTGATCGTACGAAGATTTTCCAACCAGCTCCTTCGATCAGCTGATTGAGGAATGCCGGCTGAAGAGGAGCCGACAGCCCCACGTACTGTGAATTTCGGCCGGTATGGGCACCTTTTAGGCTAATAAAAGTATCAAAGTATGCATTCTAATACCAAGCTTACACATTGTTCACAGAGTTAGCAGGGAATCTGAAACCCCCTCTCCAGCCGAGCCTACTGCGTCTCTCCTCTTCCCACCCAAATCCCAGCCGCATCACAACGCACTGCCTACATACTTTTGTGGTTACTATTAGGGCTGCAGCTAATGATTATTTTCATAATCGATTAGTTGGCTGATTATTAAGTTCGATTAATCGGATAAAAAAAAAGGCTCCAGTGATGGACTACTAGTTTGTGGTGAGATTGTAGTCCATCACGGGAGCAAGCTTGGCGCGGTAGAAGTAAAAAAAAGAGTGTGGTGTGCAATATAGTACATAATACAGCGGCGCAGTGCAGAATACCAGCAGCTATAGAGGAATGTAGCAATACTACATTATACTACATATGTACTATTGCTGGGGATTTGTAGTCCTCTGTAGCTGGCGTTACTCTGCATTGCGCTGAATATAATGTATTATTGCTGGGATTTGTAGTCCTCTATAGCTGGTGGTATTCTCCATTGCGCTGTATAATGATTATACTGCGCAATGCAGATTACCACTGACCAGTTATAGAGGAACTACAAATCCCAGCAATAATACATTATACAGCGCAATGGAGAATACCACCAGCTATAGAGGAACAACAAGTCCCAGCAATAGTACATTATACCGGGTGTTTAATGTATTATTGCTGGGATTTGTTGTTCCTCTATAGCTGCTGGTGTTCTACAGTGTGCCGCTTTTTTTTTTTAAACAGGAAACATTAAAACAGGTCCCCCTTACCTGTTTCTGAACCCTTGTAAGTCACCGCGGCGTCGGCGTGCTCTGCGAGCGTGTGTCCGGCTTGTGTGGTGAGCGTGGCATATACGCGGCATGGTCGTGGCGTCCGCGGCGTGCGTAGCGTAACTCGTACCTATTCCACCACAGCACCCCTGTACTCCTGTTCCACAACGGCACCCCCACACAACTATTCCACCATTGCACGCCAATACACCTATTCCTCGCTGCACCTTCATACACCTGTTCCACCGCTTCACACCCATACAACTGTTCCACACAGCACCCCACAAACCTATTCCACTACTGCACCCATACACCTGTTTTACACAGCACCCTTGTACACCTGTTCCACCACAGCACCCCCAAACACCTATTTCACCACATCACACTCATACACCTGTTCCACACTGCACCTCCATACCCCTTTTCCACCACCACACCCCCGCACACCTATTCCACCACTGCATCCCTGCACACCTGTTCCACACTGCACCCCTATTTCACCACTGCACCCCCATACACCTATTCCACTACTTCACACCCATACACCTGGTCCACACTGCACCCCCATACACCTATTCCACCACTGCACCCCTATCCACCACTGCCTCTCCACACAGCTGTTCCACACTGCACACCTGTTCCACCACAGCACCCCCACACACCTGGTCCACACTGCACCCCCACACACCTGGTCCACACTGCACCTCCGTACACCTATTCCACCATTGACCTCGATTGTCGGCGGGCCAGCAACGAGTGAGGGAGATCGCGTCGAGGAGGAGAGCAGCGGCGTGCGCGGCTTCAGCGGTGGGCGTGGCTTCGGCGTCCTGTCGGCACGGCGGGAGCAGCGTGCGGTGGGCGTGGCTTATGCGTCCTGTGGGCACGGCGGGCGCAGCGGGACGTGAGCAGCGTGTGCTTCAGGCCGCGTGGAGAGCCCCGAACAGGGAAATCAATCGATAGCCGACGAATCGACGATCGAAAACGTTGGTAATGTTTTCAATCGTCGATTTTAATCGACTAAATCGATTAACTGTTGCAGCTCTAGTTACTATTGTATAATTAGGGGTGTGGTGTTGCGTTCGTTCCGGTGGTTCAAAACCAGTTTTTTTATAAATTTGACTTTTCTCAAAGTAGCCGGCAAGAAAATTGTCGGCCAATTAGGGATTTACGTATTCAAAAATGCTCGATGCCCCCATTCACACTAAACAGCGTAGATGGGGGCTTTTTCAGCGAGTCAGTAAGTAAAGCCTAAGCTTAGTAGTACAACATTTTCTTCACTGCCATTTTTCATCAGCTGAGTTATTTTTTATTGAAACTGCTGCTGTGAATGTTTGGAAGTGAAATGATGAATGGATTTATTGCCATAAGCAGGTTTGAGCTTGGTGTGATATTTAAAAGAGAAATGAGCTTAATTCTATTTTACATCTAATTGACCACTTGCAACAAAAGTCATGTATTTTCAGATTCCATTATCCCATGGCTCTAACTGTGACCATACACTTGGGAACTTTAAATCACAGCTGTCTGTCCTGTGGTCTGTTGTTTTGAGTCACCAAATTATCAAAACTAGTGATTCAATTTCTTCTGCAATTGTATTCATGTGGATGCAGAATTTTCTTCCCCTTGCTCATATATTACCTCACTGTCTCTCCAGAGCCTAAGGTAAAATTGCAAGCATCCCTGGTAATGCTCCTTGGCTTACTTCTGTGAGTGGTTTATCTTTAAAGGGATACTTTTCAAGGGCACTGATTTTGTTCTCTTCATACTGAGACTGAGCATACAATTATAGAAGGCCTATGCTTCAACTTAGCATTCACTTTCAGCAAGTACATTGGCAAGACCTTCTTAATATCCGAAGATCAGACAAAAGTAAGAATCTTCAATGTAGTGTACAGGATATATAGTGGACCTAAATAGGTTTATTTTCTTCCCCCTCCCCAACAAAACTGGTGTTTTACTTTAAATGCATGAATACCCTTCTGTCATGTTACATTGGTTCATAGGGGGGGAATGAGACCAGCATTCTTGATTGAGGGCCAGCCAAAATATTACAGTCCTGTGGTGTGAGTTATTTTGCAGCTGGCAATGCTATGACTTATAAAAGAAAAAGAATTGTGAGTTGTCACTGTTAGGCACATAGGCACACGTGTTATATTGGCATTTTCTGCATTTTGCTGAAATGTGTAATTCTTGTAGTTGTATACTGTACCTCACAACTACTCTTCTAATATTACACAAAAGCACTATGGGCCCATTCTCACGTCTCTGCTCCTGTGAATTGTGTCAATGCACCTTGCATTAGGGCAGCCTAGTCATTTTAAATGGACTGCTAGCTCATAGAAAAAGTGTTTGTTTGGTGAGCTGCAACCTATGTGTGTTGAAGATAATGATGCTTTAGTGCGCTGGGGTGCAATTCCAACAGGACTCTGTTGCATAAGAGTGATAAAGACGCATATGGAATGTGGTTATATCTGCATGTGTATCGGCACATAATTGCCAGTATTGGCCAAGGTGAGACCTACTGGGGTAATATTGGCAATTAGGTTCTGTTGAGTATCACATGACCAGTTCTGTGTATAGATAGGTGTTCTACCCACTGGGCTTCTACAGTGCTGGTCTGCCACAAGTGACTTCTCTTGAGTATTTAGTACAGGTAGGAAGACTTCATAAGCATACACTTCCGAGGGGGCACTCCAAAGGCCAAGGAATTCTTAAAGTTACATGTAAATAAACAGCTAAGCAGTACTCATAAGCT